AATAATTTTAACAATAAAATATATATAAAGAAAAAAATATACTTACTTGTTTTTAAACATATATTATTAATCATTTAACATTAAACAATAATTGTTAATTATTGTATAATCAAACAATTATATCAATCGAATTCGTCATCTACTATTTGCTATTCATTTTTTACTAATTGTCACCTGCTATCTGCTAACTATTGTCTAATACTCACTATTAATATCCATAATCTATTACTCATTACTCACTACCTGTTACCCCGTTATCTGCTAAATTTTAACAATTAAACTGAACAGGTCCTAATAAAGAGAATTATTATCATTATTCTTAGCGAACTGGGTTAAGTCCATTTTCCTTGCAAATCCATAAATTATTGCCTTTTATGTTTAATAGAAATGTGTTAATTTTATTTTTAGTTTAGACAATGAACATATGTCAGGACGAGATTGCTTGAAATTAATCCCTCCAAGGTAACGGAGTAAAGAGTTCTAAAAGCACATTCTCACATTGATCATTATTATTTTCACACATTTTGTCGCCTTTATTTATCTTTTTTTGTGTATAAGTAATGCTTCCTTGGGTATAGTTAGCGGCTTTTACAGAATATAGGTGATGAGTTACTGGTCCATCATATCAGAATCTGAAATTTGAGGGGCTAAAGTGTCAAAAACGTGAAAGCATGTGGCTGTCTACTACTTCGTCAATAATTTTTCTTTTTTTTGCACAGCATTCTTCTTCAAGAATTTAAATACCATTTGTGATTCTTAATCGCTTGGCTTGCGGAGCACTGAAGGAAATATATCAATGGGATTTGGAATTCATTTTCTGCATATTTTTATCTTTACAAAAGTAAATAAGGAAAAAACTAGGGCTGGACATGTTTGTCATAAATTGGAAATTGTAAAACTACGAGGGGTCTGAATGTTCCTTCCGCAAGTGACCGAGGACAGCGACCAGATTTCTTCTTTCAGCATCAGCAGAATTTTTACGTTTTACTAATCCAGTTCTTTTCTACTTTCTGAAGTGTGTTTGTCCACTCTGATAAAAGTGTTTATATTTTAATCTTCTACGTCTTTTATTTATTATTTTAATGTTTTTTCCCTTCTCTTTCTTTTTGTTATTTTGGTGGCTTGCGTCTTTGTTCTTTTACTTATTCTCTAAATTATATGCTCTTTACTTTTTGTGTCGCTCATCTTAATTTTTAGTATTGTCTCTTCATTGATCATGCTTGCGGTTTCTATTCTTTTTTTATTCAACAACATGCTAACTTCAAATAATAACATGAGTAGCTAAACCTTCATACATCTAGGATTATGAAACTAGGTCCATTAGCACATCCACGAGCAATTAATCCCTTTTGTTTTGAGATGTCGATGTAGGGTATTTTTATTCATTTTAACATATTGTAGATGATTTAAATCTCTTCATAATTTATTTTTGGTGAACAAGACTTAAATAGAGAAATATCACACTACTAGTTAAGATTATCTTTAGGCTTTTCATATCATTGCTCAATAAGATTATTATTAGGGATTACCCTTTTATAATTTATACTTGGAAAATGAATGATTAATCGTATAATACGAGACTAAAAGCTAGGACTAAAGCTCAGGGATATGTGCTTATATAACCTAGTTGATTAATACTAAATGTTCATTAATATTTTTCATCTTTAATTAAAACTACCTATTTTTATTATTTATAGTTTTTGTCTTCTCAATCGTGTTTAATTATTTGTCTTGGTTCACCTGAGTTGTTCCTTTGATCTAACAGTACTGTCGACCCACACTCTCCAAAGTTCTACAACAACTTTGAGCACTTGCAGTATAAATTAAAATTCACATTATAAATTATGTCAATATATTTAAAAAATTAATTTTTCTTTATATTGTACTTAAAACTCAAATCTTAAATTCGAAAAACAAAATTCGCTTATCAATACACACAACAATTATAACTTGGTTCGATCCTTACAAAGTTTAGACCTTTTTTCAAAGCAATATGTTTTGGCCAACAATTTTGATTTATGACATAGAATTTTTCTAAAATTTAATTTTGATTTATGACATAGAATTTTCTTTAAATTTGCATCTAATTCGTACCCCTAAAACAAAAAAGTCTCTTTGGCCATTTTTTTTTTTTCATAATTGATGTTTTTCAAAAATTTTCTTTTTGGTTGTTGTGTGGGAGAAGTATTTAGCTATTTACTTTGTATAGAAAACAAGAAAATGAGTTTTTCGATGACTTTTTCTTGCCCAAGGAATCGACTTCCGTATTTAATGACTAAAAGAACATCAAATTATATTATAAGAAAGCACCCAAAATATAGGAGGGGTGCTTTTCTACACAAATGAATTAGAAATAATATTCAAACACTTTTCTAATTAAGAGTTTATACAATATATATTATATATGGTATATTCGGTATAAAAGTTTACGATAATGGCTTTTAATTTTATAAATTTATTCATTTTCGAACAGGTATGAATTAAATATTTGGTAAAATTTTTTCATTTAACAATTTGGAGCTACTGTAATAAATAATAGCTAGTTAATTAAGGTTCAAACTACTAACAAATTAAAATATTTTAGTTTTATGAATAAATTTATTCATTTTAATTATTCAAAATTTTGTCACCGTCTAAATTACTAATTATCTAATTGACTTCAACTTAATTTTTTTCTCTTTTATAAGTAATAACATTAAGTAATTGTTATATTTTACATTAACTTATTATAAAAAAAATTTACATTAACTTAATAAACAAAATTTACTTATTAAAGGAAATAAATTAAAAGTTTGTTTTGCCTTTATTTAAAAATACTATAATATTTTCTTTGTTAAAAATAGATAAATGAGTACCTGATTCACACTTTTATATTTTATTTATTT